GATTACAACCGGGCACTCGGCGGTGTGCTCGGTGCTGTTGAGCCGAAATCGCGGATCGACGGCGCTCGGAGAAACCCTGCCTATCGGACGGCCGAGAAAGTTGGGTGGAAATGTAGCCTCGCGCCGCCCCGTACGTAAGGTACGCCCTTGCATGTGCTGCCCCTGTCGGGGTTTATGATACGAAGTGTCCGCACCGGCGGCCGCAAGTCCCGCGCGCGGCCGCGCTCGAGGGGATCCGCGGCCGCCCACCGCGTTACCGCCCTGCTTGGCCGCGCGATTGACCACGGCGCCGGCGCGCCCAAATTAAGTCGGAGGAATGCAGCCGCTTATGAAATGAAAACGGGCGGCCACGTCCAGAGCTCTTTCTGGCGACGTGAATCTGATCATCCTGCGCAAGCTAGCGCTGCAAGACTCTAGCTTCCTCTATAGTGAGTAACTTCTGCTTGCAAGTTCTTCAGTCAGAAGGCGGAAAAGCGGAGGGAAGCCCTAGCGTATGAAAGGAAGCGTTCTCTGGTAGAGCGGTGATAGCCTGGGCTCCGTGAGCACAGCAACGACGAGCGCACTGAGGCGTATTTCAGCTCCTCTAGTTGACAAATGTATAAGCGCTTGATCAAGGTGCGGTGGGAAGGTTGCAGTCATTGAAAACCTGAACAATCCCAAGCACGCGAAAGTAAGTGCTCGCCAAATACGATGCTCTCAGCTTTACGAGTCCGTCAACCTTGAAAGCAATAGAAAGGCTGGTCATTATGAAAGACGGAGGGAAATTGATTCTGTGGGGCCTATAGAGTCTTGATTCGTGAGCAAATGCCGCCCTGCCATCTGCATAAGCTGGGCGATTTGCAGGCCGTTGGGGATCAGCTTATCCTACTTTGTCGACTTGATTCTGAGCACACCTCTGCTTGAGCAGTCCTTCAGATAAAGGGCGGTCGATCTTCGCAAATGTTGTTAAGGGCGGTCGCATCGTGCGGCATCCGTTCTTTGGAATTCTACGACTTCGTGCAGACATGGTCGAAGCGAAGAGTTCACTCGTCACAGAAGCTGATCAGCTCGGTCTTAACTGGAAATGCCATTCAGTTTAGAGAAGCAATGCGGATTAATTTCATACAGGGAGCTTTCAAAATTCTACCAGGATGGAACACGTCTATATTTCTTTCGGTAACGATAAGACAGGGTACGACGGATCCGATGATCTCTAGCTGCCACGAGGTGGGCACGGATTGGTTCTGGCGCTATTCCAAAACCAATCCGTTGCACCGTTTTATCAAGAGAGATACTATACACAGGCGAGAGTCATGCGAGCCCGGCTTCGTTTGTGCTGGAATCGAGACCAGTCTTTGTCTTTGTATTCAAGATCTGCGTACTTTTACTAAAGAGCCAATAACCAATAAGCAGATTGTTGAATCAAGCGCACGTGCTGCGTGACTGTCTCTGCTCTCACCAGTTAGCTTGCTGTCCGTACATACAGAGAAGGCTGCTTACACGATAAGACGACGATACCGTACCGTATGCACTCGTTACACGTGCGCTTATCCTTTTTTGGTGGGCTCGTGCTAAGTCCACGTTTGTAACGCCCGGCCGGCTTTCTCTTTTCACATGGTTCGTGAAAGCTGGTCAAAGACAAGGGTTTTGGGTATTGTATGACTGGGCTGCTAATCCACGAAGTTGCAGCAAGGTTGGTACGCATATGATGAAAACCGCTGGCCAGGTCTCGGGCGTGCATAGCCCCGAGTGCTTGGCCGCATGGCAGTCATGATGTATGTGTTTGGTCCAGCATGTGAATTTTAAAGCTGTAGGTAAGTAAGCCACGAGAAAGCTTCGAACATGAAGCGCATATTTCGCATTGGCTCTTGCTTACTTCATGGTGATAAGAGTTTTGTTGTGAGACGAAGCACGAACAGTCTGCAAAGACAGACTGAGCAGAAATTCTATAATGATACAGCCCGATCAACAGTGAAGAGCCCACTGGCTTCCCTCATTGCAAAGGCGTCTTAGATGAGTTTGAATTTGTTAAGAGAGGGTGTAGTAGGTTGAGCAATTCTTACGTAGTTGACGAATTGTCAGCCCAATTGTTCCGCGGTGCAATCGACGGGATCTGATCTTCCGGTTTTAAGTTCATGACACACCGTGCTCATTTGTTTCTTACATACATGGAGTACTAGCAAGGGGCTGGGCGTTGAGCTGATACTAGTCAGAACACGAACCAAATGTAGGAAAGTTGAGCCGAAGCAGCTTTGTCTTCTGGGCAATCGACGTGTCATTCAATGCTATCCCTGCCCTGTAAAGCTGTGTAGCATGACTGCTTACTGGATTGCGCGTTCCTTCTTTATTTTCCATTCCAACAGATCCTCCAGTTGGGCTTTCTCTCCCCCTCATTATTCAGATAGTATTGCACGTCACAGGGGGAGTTCCCCTTAAGCGGTTTGGGATGTGAACACAGAAAGCCCCGCAAAGCATACCATGGACCGCTTCCGCCGATCACCCAAGTCTTCTTCGGACGAAGAGTTTCCCAGCAAGCAGGATCTCTCAAAGCGAGTGACTTTGTGATTTCACAGGGTGGAATTGTGTAGAGTTCTACAGACAGGGGCCCCGGCGGCTCACTTTCGACACCCAATCGGATTAAGTTGCCAGCAACAGAGGCGGTGCAAGTCTGGCTCACTTCTTCCAGTGACTTCACAGGGTACACAGGCTGGAGCGAAACGTCCACATATCTGTAAAACGCTGAGCTAGAACTTCCAACGTTGTCTGCTATTTTGTGTTCCGGATAGATGCCCCACATCCAAAGGCTTCCCCGTACGCGAACGAGGATCAAGATCGTCCCCCCAGAGAAAAGCCGCGCCCGAAAGCAGCATGCAGCGCAAAATCCATCTTCTACTGTCGAGACTTCCACCCCTTGACTTTGTTCAGCATGGTTGATCTTCTTTGCCGCACAGAATCGAGCGGTCAACAGTCGTTTGTACCCACCCAAAGCTTCCACCTTTGCACCCAGATTCACATCCTCCTGAAAATTCTGAATCTCAGACTGACAACTGTCTTGCACGGCCGTCGGTGAGCCACAAAAAGCTTCCTTCCAGACGTCTGGATTTTCTGCTGCCGCGCGGTACAGGGGCGCCAAAGCACACGTGCTTCGCACCAACGAGAGGGGTTCCTGAGCAGCCAGCTTGCGGAGGATGATTGAGAGCAAGTCGTCCGGAAGGCGCTCCATGCCTCCGTTTAACTGTACTGCCAAGATGAACTCCGCCCACTAGCTGGGCTGAAAGCCGAGTCCGGTTGGAACGCCGCCGGTTGGAACGCCGCGGCTCAGCGGCCGCGCGTCACTCGAATTTCCTCCGGGGTACGTCACGTCTCGGCAGCGCCGCGCCTGCCCCGGTCGGGGTTTAATAATCAAAGTGCAGTGTCCGCACAGTCACGCGCGCGGTTGGGTCCGCGCTCGAGGAGATCCGCAGCTGCGTTATATACCGCCCGGCTTGGCCGCCCAATCGTCCACGGCGGCGCGCGCGGCGGTCCGTGCGGCAGCGCGCCTAAATATGAAAGGCATGCAGCCGCGTTCGAAATGAAAGCGGGCGGCCATGGAAGCTCTTTCTGGCGACGTGAATCTGATGATCCTGCGCACGCGCTGCAAGACTCTTCAATCCTCTCTATTGCGGGCAATTTGTACCTGCCAATTGCTTCATTTGAAGGCCGAAGAAAGCCCCGGCGTCTGAAAGGAAGCGTTCTTTGATTCTTCGGTACAGCGGAGGCCTAGGTGAGCACAGCAACGACAAGCGCACTAACGTGCGCTTCAGCTCTTTTAGTTGATGTAAGCGCCTGCTCGAGGCGCGGTGGGAAGATTGCATAAGTTCTTTGAAAAACTGACTTAATCCCAGGAACGCGAAGCGCTCGCCAAATGAGGTGCTCTCAGCTTTTAACGATTCCGTAAACTTTGGAAGCGGTAGAAAGGCTGATCTCTCTGAGAGACGGAGCAAAATTTCTTTTGTGGAGCCTATTCTTAACTCGTGAGCAGGCCGCCCTGCATGATTCGCTGGGCGATTTTGCCGGCCGTCGGGCCCAGATCCTACTTCGTTGACTTGCTTATGAGCACAACGGTCTCGGCTTGAGCAAGTTATTTCGAGATCAGGGCGTTCGATCTTTGCAAAATTTGTTGAGGGCGGACGCGTTTCTTCTGAATTCTACGACCTCGCGCAGACATGGTCGAAGCCAAGAATTCACTCGTCACTAAAGCTGGGTCTTGATTGGACGTGCCCTTTACCTTTCAGAGGCGTTGCGGATCATTTCATAAGGTTCTTTTAAGATTCTACGAGGATGGAACACCTCTATAGTACCTCCGGTAACGAGAAAACAGGGTACAAAGGATCCGATGATCTCTATCTGCCACGAACAGTGTACAATGCACCGCTGGTACTAACCGGAATGAAATGGATGTGCTGCACCACTTTCAGTGACGGAGAGACTTGGTATAGGCGAGAATTATGTGA